TGAGAGTGACAGAGCACTGGAACAGGCTGCCCAGGGAGGTTGTGGAGTCTCCTTCACTGGAGACATTCAAACCCACCTGGACACCTTCCTGTGTGATGTGCTCTGGGTGACCCTGCCCTGGCAGGGGGGGTTGGACTAGGTGATCTTTCGAGGTTCCTTCCAACCCCTAGGATTCTATGATTCTATGAAAGGTGCTTCTGAATCTCTGCTCTTCAAAAAGCACATCAGCTTCTGCTCCACCTGATTTTGTTTATTGATACGGGTTAATTTTTAGGAGATGCAAAACCAATTTACAGAATTACAGATCTGTCATTTCCAGGATCACCTTCTGTAGAATGTCACATTTTAGTCACATCTGATGTGGTGCTTAGGACTGAATCCAGACTAATTTGAGTTAGATCTATTGGCAAATTGCTTTTTCTTACAGTGGGGTAGGCATCACCATGATGTCTACATGGTGATACAGTTTCTGGCTATTGAAGTCCTCTGTACCTTCCATGCTTCACTCACCTTTAGCATTTTAAGCTTACTATCACTGTCCTGATTCACGAGTTGAGAGTGTAGCTCGAATACTATTCCAGGAGGGTACAGAATTTAACTGTAGACAGTGTCTTACAGATTGCAGCAGGGGATTGATTTACTTTGTTTGCTACGGACTCATGGAGTTTGTCAGGTTGGAAGGGACCTCTTGAGATCATCTAGTTCAACCTTCCTGCTCGAGCAGGGTTGGCTAGAGCAGATTGTCCAGAACCATGGGTTTGGAATATTTCCAAGGATGGAGACTCCACAACCTCTCAGGGCAGCCTTGGCCATCCTTTGACCACCTTCTCAGGTAAAACCTGTTTCCTTCTGTTCAGGTTGAGTTTCATGTGTTTTCATTTGCACAAATTGCCTCCTGTCCTCTCAGTGGTGACTACTGAGAAGAATCTGGCTGCCTTATCCTCATTCCCTCCCACCAGGTATTTCTACATACTGATAAAACTTCCCTGAGTCATCTATTCTTGAGGCTGAAGAGTCAAGCTTTCCCAAGCTCTCCTTAAACCTCAGATGCTGCAGCCCCTTAATCATCCTGATGGTCCTTACGGACTTCTCTCAGTAAACCCATATTTTTTGGTACTGGGGAGCCCAGCACTGGGCCCAGCACCACCCGGGAAGCCTCCCCAGTGCTGAGCAGACAAGACCTCACCTCCCTCCACCCTCTCCCCAGCACAGCTGAGGATGCTCTTCCCCTTTTCAGCTGCAAGGGTGCCTTTGCTGGCTGTTTTTTACTGAAAACATGCAGTGCTACCTCTCGGCTGACACAGCCTATATTTGTAGACTGCTTTCACAGCATCTCCACTAATCCCTAATGAAAGGAGGACGTAGTAGTGAAAAGGAAATCTGCTGCAAACCAAGAGATAGAAATCTACCATATGGCAGGCTGTGTGTGTGTGTGCCTTGGGGAAAGGAGCTGCTGGAATTAATCACTTCACTTCTTCGGCAAATAATTTCCACTGGAGTGTAGAAGTCAAAGGTTTCCTGGCTTTTTTATTTTTTTTCCTTTTTCTTTGTGTAAGGAATAGCATGGATTTCAGATCTTCCTCCTCCCTCCATCCACAGCAGAGGGTAAAAATGAAAAAGTTCAAGATAGGAAATGTCATGAAACTTTGCAGAGAAAAAGAATCATGTGGTTAGTCTGGTCAGGACCCATTTTGGGTAGATGAGTCTGCAGTGCCTTCTGCAGTTGCACAGTGGTCTGGCATGCTGGTTAACAAGAGCAATTTCCCTAATTATAATAACAACAACAATAATAACAGATTATTATTTCTTAAATGTTCAAGAGAGAGACCAATGTGCTTTGAAGAAAACTGAGTGCCCTCACCATCACTGAAGTTCAGTTATAAGCAATTATAAATTGAGGTGCACTGATTGGGGCAATATGTAATACTAGTTGCTATTAAATATTTAAATTTTAATAATACCTTATAAAATATGAGCAACCAAATGTATTCACAGAATCACTGGTGAGTAGAATATAGAGACAAGTGGAATTAACCTGGTGGAAAAGATGGCATTTTTCTCTGCATTATAGTATAAATATTGGAGAGAAAATTACTTGTTTTAATTTTTGTCCTGGATTTAGGTTTTTTTATTGCTTTGAGATCAGGTTATATGAATTCATTGTACTGACATTTGAGGAGAAATAGTTAATTTTAAACAAGCTGGTCCTTCTGGACTGATTCCAGGGTTATTGTGTATTATTTTGGGTAGATAAGGTAACCCTTCCCTGGTGGGGCTTGCTCACCTGGTGTCACTGGTATATTTTACATCACCTTTGACAAGCATGGTCCCAGGTGGTCAAGGCAGTGGTGTGAAATGCTGTAACCTGCTTCAGGAAAATGTTTCATATTGTAGAGCTGTTTCATGTCAAATTGCCTGGATGGTGCATGAGAAACCAAGTTAAAGGAGCCAAGTATTCATTGAGAAATTGGAGAAAACATAATACTTACAAGTGTTACAAAGGATTACATTGTGTGAAAACTTTTCAAGGAAGAGGAAAATGTTACTCTCTTTAAAAATGTTGTTTGCTTAATGTAATGGAGATCCCTGAACATTTCACCTGAAATCAGTGCTGTGCTTGTTATGTTTGTTACAGAACATAGCCCCTTTTATCCTCGTGACATTTTACTGTAATTGCATTAGGGAAATAACTGTAGTTTATATTTTCCTAGAAGTTCTGAACTGATTCTAATGCTTTAATTTGCAGAGGACTGGTGACCAAATCCATGGGATGCCATGTGGAGGTTTGGGCTCCCACACAGACACAACATTCATTTAATTTCACAAGACTTTGCTTTGAACAAAAATCTTTTCCATTTTGGCTTAGACTATCCTTTTTATCATTCATTAAATCCTGTATGATGAGGATTTGACAAAGAAAGAAAATATGTTTTAACTTCAATTTAAGCCTGTGTTATGTTACCAATCACATTTCCCCTTGGCTTGCAGGATGTTTCATTTTTCTGTCACCAACTGCACCTTGGCAGCTGAGAGAACTTAACCTGTGCTGAGAAATCCTTAGAGAGAAATGTCTTGACTGTGTCCCAGCTGAAAAGTTTTTCTGTTGACCATGTGATTTCATTTGGCTCTACTGAAAAGTTGAGGATATTGTATAAAACCATAACTGTTGAATAAGTAGGCTTTACCTGAATGAGAAGAATCCAGTTTAAGATGGTAGTATCTAATATCCTTGTATACTACAGGTTGAGCTCTCAAATGGTTGATCATTTCCCTTCTACAGTATTTGTAGCTCCATATCTTAGTTTGATGCTATATAACTGTATACAGAAAGCAAAGATTTTATTGTATCACCTCTCTTTTGGGTTTTATTAGTTGGGTAAGTCAGTTGAAATTATTTTTGTTCACATGATTGATTTCTTTTGACACACGTGGTACCAATTAGAATAACTTCTACTGCCCATCATCTCTTCAGTCTGTGCTACTGTATCAAAATACTTGATTAAACCCACCTTCTGTTGTTGTAATGCAAAACAGTTGGTAATAGTAGGCAATATTGTCAGATTTATTGAGTGAGAAGCAGCTTTCTGCAAATCTGGCAATGCAGTGAAAAACAGGACTAGATGGATAATTGAGTTGAGCACAGTGGAATTCAGGATTAAAGTAAACTTGATGTGGGAGAAAAAGGCATGCCAGAGTTGGTTGTGTAATGCAGTTTAAATCAGGAGATAATTTTCTTCTGAATTTGAAGCATCAGTTTCTGGCTCTAGGTGCTTTACCCCCTTTGGAGGCATACTTGAGTGCACATCCAAAACCACAGCACACAAGAATAGTGAATTCCTCAGTGCTTTTTGCAGAAGATACTCTGATGTGGGCTGACAAAGAAGAAGCTCCACAGGTTCTGTTGCAACACAGAGTTTCAGGTTTCATTGGTCATAACGAGTAAACCTCACATCAAGAGTAAGCCTTTAATTTCTTTTCATAAGTGCTTTTCTCAAGCAATTTTAATGGCCACTCTGAGAAAATGAGTTTCTATTGCCAAAGTGCTTCCAGTACTTGAGGGCACTGAGGACAGAAAGTGGTGGAGGAACTAGCTGAAGACCTAGTTGAAGATCTCTGCTCACTGCAGGGGATGTGTTAGACTGGGTGACCTTTAAAGGTCCCCTCCAACCCAAACCATTCAGATTCTAACTTGGCAGTCACAGCCAGCTTTGGAATGTGCCAGCACAGTAGTGTCTGCATTTCACCTTTATGCCTTTGAGCTTTGTCTCTTGTTGAAGAGGAAGCAGGTCAAATTGAAGAGTACCTGCAGAACGTGGTTGCCTGTGATAATGCATCAAGAACTTGATGAATCCCACTGCTGTTTGGTCATTTCAGTACTACAGATGCTAGATGGCAAAGGCTACTTGTAGATCTGTGTTTGGGAGAGGTGATACGTAGTGTTTACCACTCGTGGGTACAGCAAAAGTCACAAGTGATACAGTCAATTCACATTGTTTTCACTGTTTCTCAAATTCCTTGCTTCCTTTTTCTCAACGTGGATAGCAGGAGTCGTTTCTCCTCGTGTTTACTTTGGTGTTCAAATTGGGTTTTTTTTCTGCCTACCTGTCAGACAGTTGCACCTCTCTCTTGTTTTTGCTTAGGCAGAGAATGCACCAGATGGACCAGACTGTGGTTATGGGTCTTTCCACCAGCAATACTGGCTGGATGGGAAGATCATTGCTGTGGGTGTAATTGATATCCTGCCCTACTGCGTGTCCTCAGTCTACCTGTACTATGATCCAGACTATTCTTTCTTATCTTTGGGAGTCTACTCTGCATTAAGGTAAGAGGGCTTTTTTTGTTATCTGGTCAGACATAATAGTAAAAATTGATACTTATTTCTAAACCTGAGCTTTTCTTTTCAGTCTAAACATAAACTGGTAACACTATCTCTAACAAAGTACTTGTGGTTTGTTTGGTTTTGGTGTTTTAAAATTCTTTACAGTTGGTTGTATTTCAAATAGCTTTTTAATTGTCATCCTTTAAATAGGGATCTACCTTTCTAGTTACCTAAATACTTTAAAAACTAAAAAAAAAAACACTCAGAAATTAAATACCTACTTTTTATTGCCCCTGAAAATAATTTAGTGTTGCTTGGTTTCAGCAGGTCAGATTGAT